TCCGTCCTTCTCCTGCATGTTATCTATTTGGATTTGCTTGATTCCCTCCATCTACATACTGGATTTTCCATCCTGTCCTAATTCATCCCCCATTTAATATTAACTTTGGTAGCCGCTTTAGTTTCCCCTATCCATAGAAAGATATGTATTCAAGGGAGGAAACGTTTGCACAACCAATTTGAGGTGGTGCTCTATGCTGTATTAGATCAGCTGTGCTGAAGAGGTGAAAGCACAGCCAACTCATTTAAACCTGGAGAGAAGAACACTTAGAGTATCCTCTCTTACTGACATTGATCTTCTACCTATCCTTGTCTGTTTGGTTGTCTCTGCAGTATAATGTCTTTCTCTACCAGGGCAAGATTTAAACTCATCAGTGTTGATTTAAAATAGCTTCAGAACTTAGAAATCAGTCAGCCCATCTAATGAATGTTTGATGCACATGATAGTTTTTATAAGCATAGAAATTAGATTTAATGGTTTTTTTGGTTTTTCATTAATATTTTCTCCCTTTAACAGTGTACATGAATTGTAATCAGTGGTGGAAAACAGAATTGGAGTTACTTAAGTTTTGTACTTAAGTAGAAATATCTAGCAACTCAAGTTACTAGTTACTTTACAGATAGAAGATAATAGTAGCAGTAGAAAATACAATGTATGAAAATTGTTTTTTGGGTAACAGTGCTGAATGCCAACAGACCAGCAATAAAGTCGGAGCCATCTGCTTTCATCCAGCAAGCTGGTGACTATCCACACACTGGTTTTGATGGTCTTGTGCAGTCTAGGTGATCACAGGCTGATGGTTTCAATGACAGTCTCCAATAAGGATTTTCCATTTAATTATTTTTCTCCACTGCAGTATATTCTGCTCTTGATAAGAAAGCCTCAGCAGTTCTGTCATTATCTCGTCCACAGCTAACACTGCAGAGCACCAAGTCCAGGGTGGCCTTCTTTGAGGAGCTTTAAACCACAGACAGTACCTGTAAAGGTGGAGATGCACAGCTGCCAATGACCTCTCATTTCTACATTCCTGGTCAGTTTAAATGACTGAACACACTACAAGGCCTTAAACCACACAGTGAAACCACTATGAAACACTTCAAACTAAAAATTGACCACTGCCTTGATCTGCACCAGCACCATGGGCTTCATGTGTACGCACAAACAAGAATGCATGCAAACGGTTCCTGTACTAAACCTGGGATTGATAATAAATAAATAAATAAAAATCTGAGTGCCTGTTTACAGTGAGTGTGTGACATGCATCACAGCTTTTATTAATATTTTGATGTGAAACTGGGGGTGGGTTTTATCCCTGTCAAATAAAAAAAAAAGATGCATAATGTGATCTTTGCCTACTCGTGTTCCACTGAGACAGTATTTGTGTAGTTTAGAATGGTTATTATATCATGTCCAGATGGGATGGCCCACATTATTCAATTCAGACAAACAAACCACTAAGAAATAAAGATGAACAAAATAGATTAGTGGTTTCAACTGTGCCCTGACCCAGATATTTGATATTTAGTAGATATATGCAGTAATATACTGTATGTATGTTAGCCTACGCTGCTTAAACACTGACCATTTGTTATATTCCATTTTATTCATGTTATTTGTTGGCCAACCAATCCTTCTATATAATATGTTGTTTCTTTGCTTAATAACTTCATGCTGCCTTAGTTTTCTTGTTTCAGTGGAATGGGTAAATGAAAAATGTCCGAGCATTAAATGCAAGACATTTCTTTGCCATCATTCATTTAAAGAGACATTTATTGCTCACAGTGGGAGCTGATGGGGTGTCATGGACATTAAGCTTGTTCTCAACACAAAAATCCAATTCTATGATTTATAACAACATTTTTGCCTTAATAGCCCTGTGTGAGCACACAGTCTTTTTTTTATATCTGATAATCTGTATTTGTGCCTTTATGGCTCGTCATGTTACGTATCTCTGGGTGCCTCAAGCAGCTGATTAGGGACTCGTTACATAAGGCAGGGAGCGCACAGTGCTCTGCTTCTTTAAGTGAAGAGATGATCATTTGTATTAGGTGGTTCTTAGAATTTGAACTGGATGAAGCAACTGTGATTCTTAGATGTGATTTTCTGTCACATCTGTCATCTTTCCTTTTTTATAAACACAACTGCTTTTTTGAAACATGAATTTGCAAATATTTTGAAT